ATAGGGGTTAGAATTCTATTATACTAATCCTTATTTTTTAAATTCTTTATAAAATTATAAGCGAGAATCAATTACTTATTATACTTATTATTAATAGGTTAGGGATTTTAATAAATAATAATAATGCGGATATAGTCCGAGATCTTTTAGTACAAATGATAGATTTTTATACTATTATCAAAATTATAGTAATTGATTAAACGGGTAAAATTATCCTTAAACTCTTACTATTTTATACCTTTAATTATTTTTAACTCTTTGAATTCGTAACGAAAATAAATAATAATATTTATATTATTATACTTCGTAGTAAGTTCTACTAAGAGGGCCTCCGCTATAAGCTATTTAGCGGGGAATTTAATAAGGATTTTAATAAATTCAAATTCAATAGCTTCGAAAGGGGCGCCCTTAATAGAGCAAACGATAAGGAAAAACTTCTTACACTCAGTATTAAAGAGTTAAGGGTCGTCTAACTAAGTGAATTAGATATAGAAACGCTAAGTACAAAATTTAACGGAGCGTTTAATAGTAGTACCTTTACTATTAAACGCTAGTATTATAATAATATATAATACTAACCTATAACTACTACTATCGTCTATAAAAGCTATAATATTAGGTTCGGGTTTTTTATTACTAGAATCGTCTTCTGGAAGTATAATATTACAAGCTTAGGCGGCAATAAGACGCTAATATAGATTATTAATCGTTTTTTAATACTTTTCCTTCTACTTCTAGTAAATAATTTTAAAATTGGTTTTTAAAATAGAAAATTTTAATTTTAGGGTAATAATATTTATTTGTAGTAAACCGACTTCAGTAGGATAAACGTTACAAATAACTCTAACTATAGTTTTGTAATTCTTAATAGCCTCCTATATTTAAAAGAGGGCTTTTATTTGGATTATAATAATATTACTATTAAATTATTCAATCTTTTACTAAGCTAATACTAATTAGGACTTAAAAATTTCGAATAATTCCTCCGCCTTATATACTTTTATTTGAATTCCAATAATAATTTTATAAATTAATTAATTAAAAACTATAAATATAATATAGAAAATAAGGAGGATAGTAAAACTAAAAGTATCGTCAATTAGGATATTGCTAATAATAATTATTTAATTATTAAATGCTTCGAGCGCTTATAAAATATTTGAATAATAATTACAATTAGTAGAATCGGCTACCGCCAAAGCGCTAATTGCTATAATTACCAAAAAATTGTCAGTTACTAGGGGGTTAGACATAAATCGCTAAATTAATACGCCGGTAAGTATAAAAGAGAGAAAGAGAGGGCGAATTACTTAATTATAATATTCGGTTTAATAATTATTTAGCTTAAGGTTTAGGATTATAACAAAGGTTTTAATTGTACGGCTATAAATTTTAATTAATTAATTAATACAATTGCAAATTAATCTTCCTCTTTATTAAATAGTGAACGTACGTAGTATAATAATTTAATATAATAAACTATTACGGGGCGAGAGGGTACCGTTGGGGGTAAGGTAGGATATGCGTTATTATACGAAGGAGGAGATGGGAAAGTGTGCGTAGAGGACTAGCTATATAGGCGAGAGCCTAGACTGGGCTAGTCCGTACGCGTGCACACACGTGGGACTGCACGTGACCAGAGCCGTTAATAGCTCTAGAATGAAGGCGTGCAGTGTGACCACATCACAAGCTAGCCCTATAATAATAATACTAGTTAGGTAATAATTATAGTAGAATAGTAATTATCCAGTAATTATTAGGTAATAGGGTTTTTATACTAGCGGTTAGAGTTTATAATTAGAGTTTCGTAGTAGTATAGTATAGGGTCGATCTTAGGAAAATTGGTTTGGAATTGTAATGAAATAGTAATATTCCTATAGACTATAGGTTGGCCGGGTTCTTTTTTAGGGTAGCGTTTGGTTTAGGGTATTTAAGGCTAAGCTAGGTTAATACTAGAAAGAAATTACAATATTACCACCTTATTATACTATTTAGAGAAGTATATCCCCTATATTTCGTATATAAATATAAATTACTACTCTATCTTACTATTTAGCGTCCTTCTTCCGGGTTTTAAATTCTTTCTTTATCCTTAGGGTTAGCTTAATATTACTTTTTTAGGTCTTAAATTATTTTTCTATCCTTAGGGTCGGTTTAATATTCTTTTTCTAAGTCTTAAATTATTTTTCTATTTCCCTAGAGCTTATTAGGGTTAATTAAGTAGCTTATTAAAAGTAGCTAGAAGGCTAATATTCCGGAGTATTTTTAATTATAATCTATTATAAATATAGGTTTTTATAAGTAATTCGCTATTACTCTATGTGAGACGATGACCCTGTCGGGTGGCACCAACCCAGTCGGGACGACCTGGGTAACTAGGCGCCACCAGCAGGCAGGCAAATCGGACTAACCTAGGTCGCTAGGGTATAAAACCCAGGTAGTACTTAAACTATAGGCAGAATAGTTCATTAGACAATTAATACTATAAAATCATCTATATAACCACGGACCGTTCATTTTACAATAGTGCCTAATAATAAGTAACTTGAATTATCGCTATCCTATACTATACTATTAGATTTCTTTTTGGAATCTCTTTTATTCTATTTTAATCGCGCGTCACCCAGCCGCTGCACTTTGTATACTAAGCTATATACCGGTTCCCTAACCGCTATTATCCAACTAATTAATTATTATTATTCATTAATACTATACCTAAAATAGACTTAACCGACCCGACGACCATTAGAGATTTGCGCTACGTATCGGACTTTATCTATCTCAACCTACGCTTCTAATAGGTCGGACGGCTCAATTAATTAAAACGCGAGGCTTTTAACTAAATTATTGCGACTCTACCCCCTCCCGACGAAAATGCATTAGTTATATTATCGTCTATAATGCGAATTTTACGCTAATTTCAACGCACGTCCTTATTTTCTTACCCAAATAATTGAATTTTCGACTACTATATTCCAAAATAAGTCTTTAAAGTAGTAATTGAACTTACACCAGTCTAACTACAAAATAGCAAACCCCAACTAATATTATAATAATTACTGTCCCCCTCTCTATATACTCTCCCTATAATATTAAAATTATACGAGAATTACAACCCTACCGGTTAAAACGCCGATAATAATATATTTACTACTATAAATACTAATATAAGAGCGGCTACTACTATAAAAAATAATACTACTAATAAATTAACCGTCTACTAAGAATACCCCAATAATAAACTAACCATCGTATAAAATAATAACTAAAGCGACTAATTACCCAATACCGCCAATAATTTACTATCCGATTATTAGTAAATTCCCCGTAGCAAGGCCGAACCTCTAAAATCAATTATACTAGTAGAATCAGCTCCTCCAAATCTACAATCTAATAATTAACCGCTCAACCAATTACTTATAACTAATATTAAAGAAAACGAATACCGGACCGAGGGAGACTGATAACCGATTATATTATTTAAATTCGAAGGCTGTAGTTTCTTCGATTCTACAAACGAACCGTTCTCCCTACCAAATATCGAACCCTTTCAATATACAACTATAGACAGTAATCTTCTACTATTCCCTAAATATAAAATAGAAAATATTAGAAAAAATATAATAGACGGTATTATTAATAAATATTTACTATAGAATATAGCGTATAATATCAATATAAGCGAAGTAAATTTATAATACAATATAAAAATAACCGACCTACTAATAAAATTCAATCTATATAAATTAAATTTAGCACTACCCTCCTATATAAATAGGCGATCTATATCGGCCGAATCGGATATTTCTATACTTAATATACTACTTAACGTAATAACTAATTTTATCAATCGAACCGCCCAACATTTAGTAAATGTTGAATTCCAACAGACTTCTCTATTAATATAGGATCTATTATAGCGAATATAAAATAGAATTACAATTATAATTTCCTCTAATTTAAATTTAATTTCCTTTAATAAATCGAGTGATATAATACGTATATTAGAGACCGCCGATCCAAATTTACAATAAATACTACCGCCGCTACTCCCTATAGAAATAAGAAACGCCGGAAAGAATAAACTTATCTAATTACCAACTATTATTGTAATTAACCTAAATTTATTAATAATTCTTCGTAAACCATTTCCAACTAATAATAAGCAATCGCTAGAAAGCCGAATAATAACCCTAGAACCTCCTAAGAAGGTACCTAAACGACCAAACCCCTAAGCTCCTTTTCTATTATTACAAAATAAATGATATATCCAATCAATAACGCTTTTAAAGCTATTAAAATAATAAAAAAGGAAAGTGATAATTAAAATCAAATTATTGTTCAACGCCTTTAAATTTATTAAAACCCTACTCCCAAATATGAATCTCCCCTGTCCTTATACCTTCTAATATAAATTATAAAATCCTCCTAATATTATATTCGTACCCTCACCGAAACCCCCAAAACCCTACTTATTAATATAACCCTCATTTTCCCCCGATATTACCGGTCTACCCCCTAGAAATTAACGTATAGTTAAACTACCTTCCAATTCCCAATTATTTAGAAAATAATTACAAAAAATACTATAAAGTCTGCTTCGTATACTTCGTAGGCTCCAAGCAGCTATTTAACGCTAGCGCTAATTAACCAAACAAAAAATTAGCAATATAAGTTCCGTATAGGTAGATACTAGTAGTAACGCTACTATTGAAGATAACAACTATAGTAAGAATACTAGTAATAATAACAATACTACCACAGCTAAAGAATTAGAAACGTTAAATACTAATAAAGAGCTTTATTATATTACGCGTATTATTAAAGCTATAGGTAAAATAAATAATAATAAACTCGAAACTATAACTAATTGCTTCGCTACTTCCCTTTAATCTGCTATATTTAATAGTTAGAGGATTTTAGTAATCGGCTACTTTTAGTCCGACGCTAAAGAAAAAGACGGTAATATAAGAGGTAATTACTTTCAAAAGAAAAATAAGGTCTATATTACTTCGCCGTATCTTTTCATTAAGACCGTCCGAGATAATACCGTCAATAATAATCTAAAAGTAAATACTCTTCAAAAGAATTTATACCAATTATTTATAAGCGGAATAAAGGTATAATATATAAACCAATTTAATACAAAAACCTGTATAACTATAAAGTAGAATCTAGATAGTTAGTACATTACAATTCTTTTACATTGGAAGGGCCCCGCGCCTAAGTATTAGCCAAGCTTAATACGTTGGAATATTTATATAATAATTGCCGTACTAGCAAACTACCCCGCAATATCGCGATAAAAGTCATTCGCTACTCTAAAGAATTAAGAGAGAAAAATAAGGGTAAATATATAGCGCGTATTTACAATTGCCAATACCCTAACTTAAAGGATTTAGTTGTTAAACCAGCCGATAATATAATTTTAAATAAATATTTAACGTACGTAGACCGTTGTACGGAAACCTGTTGGTTTAAAATTATCGACGATTTAGGAGGTTATAATAGTAATTTTAATAAGTATATATTGAGGGTTGAATTTAATAGTAAGCTTCCAAATATTAAAGCTATCGAAACTATTAATTTTATAAAGTAGGAAGAAGACGCTAAAGAGGAATTAGGTATAGCGTTCTAGGGTAGAGATAATTGTAATTACCCCGGCTTATTTTTTAATTATAATAATAATTATTAATAATTATCCTTACCGCACGAGCAGGAGTGGCCGCGCTACTACCACTAGGACCGGATATAACGCGCGCGGGAGTGATCGTGCCACCGCTGGAACCAGAAGTAATGCGAACCGAGTTTATTGCGCCGCTAATACCGGGGCTGGAGGGAGTACGACCGTAGAGGATATCCTTTATATATAGCGTACAGTATCCCTTCCGCTAGAAGATAGTAGCGTTGTAGTACGGAGTGCGGGGAAGGCTGGTAATATTATTCGGGAGACTATCTTACGCCAAACAAGCATATATATACTCAATAAATTATTAAATAGTACAAACGAAGGTATCTAATCTTTAAAGATATTTAGCTAAATTACTTAATATTATAGTAACGGCTACGAACTAAATAGTATTATAAGCGTTGTAAAAACCGACGGGAATATTTAGTATATATTTATTAGTAATATAAATATAGGTTATAGTTTGGAAATCGGTAGTTAGGAACAAAAACGTTAATTAGAAAGGAAGGGCGAAAAAGACAAGGATACAAAATTCATAGGTAATTAAAACGAAGTAAGTCTTATTAATAATAACTTTACGAAAGGCGTCGGGATTAATAAATCTTTTATTAAATTTCGGGACTATAGTGAAATTTAAAGTATAGTAAAGGTAGGGGATTTTACAATTAATACTATATAAATTAATATAAGGATTAAAAATAATAGAAAGGATAAGTATATTAATTTTAGGGGATTTAGAGATTTAAATTACTATAAAGGATATAAGAAAGTATTATAGGCTTTAGGTAAACCGGGGCTACAAAATTAGGAAAAGCCGTAGAGCCTAGAAATACCTCCGGGGAGGAAACCTTAGGGTTAGAAGTAAGGTCGATTGGGTTGGGACGGTTATAATTAGAGGAAATTATTTTGGAAGATATTACAATAAGGAAGAAGGAAGGTAGGAGGAAGTTAGGAAGGGGCGCCGTAGGGAGGATTATATAATTCGAAGAGAAGGCCCTTATACTATTATAAATAGGGGTAAAATTAAGGGTTCAGAAGTAAAGGGACGGAGTAGAAATAAATATAAATAGGAGTAATGAAGCAGAGGGGTAGGGACGTAAGTAGGAAGATAGGATAGAGAAATAGAAGGAAGGCGGAGGAAGGAACGGTAAAAGCGGAGAAGGAAAGGCGGCAAAAGAAGGCAGCGTTCTTAATTATATCCTTATTATTCTTATTGTTATAGTATTAGGATAATATAGCGAAGGAAGAAACTAAATCAATTTGCTATAGCGGTAGGTAAGAATTATTATAATTATAAATAAAGTAGGAGCGGTATAAGTAAACTACGACCGAAATAAAGCTAGGGGTTTTTATACGGCGGTATTTAATACCGTACGGTTTTCCCTCTAGAGAACTGGAGAAGGACCCTATACCAATAAGGCGCTATAGTTATATAGCTAGGGCAAAAGAATATTATTATCCTTAGCCCCCTTGAACCGTAATAATATCAGATATTATAAAGGATATTGTAGATTATCGTTTAATAGATACCGGGGTAGTTTATAATCATACTAAGGAAGTTTATTTTTATATGGATATTGTAAATTATTATTAGAAAATAAATATTGTAATTTATTGTTAGGAAACGGATATTGGGGTTTATCATATAGGTATAACAGCCTATACTCTAATTAGCGTAGTAATTTATTTAACTAAGACTAATATTACTAAAATCGCCTATACTAATATATTTATCACCGGTACGTTAAATTTAAGCTAGCGCGCAATAGTATTTATATTATCGAAAATAAACGCAAAACGTATAAAGAAATAAATAAATAAATTAGATTCTAAGGGAGAGCGTTTTAAGGAATAAAGTTTTAAAGAAATTAATTAAAATTATAATTTAGGAGAAGAGGAAGTATTGCTCGCCGTTAATTCGTTAGTGGGCAATATATTAATAAATATCCCTACTAGTACTATTAAATCTAATATCAATCCCGGTTTTACTTATTTATCATTGTACAATAATATAAATCGTCGAACGTATAGAAAGTATAATAAAATCTTTCCTATATATAGTAAAATATTCACCTACGTTTATACTAATTTATATACCAAACCAAAGCTACTAGGCTTAGGACCCGAACCCAATCAGCCTAAGCCTCGCTAATTAAATTAACCGCTTCCGTAAAATAACAAAAGCTATAATTCGGTAGGCTTTGTAATAAATAATATTAAATATAATAAAGTAACTGAAGTATTTAAAGTAATAAAATAAATTAACTAAAGTCCTTCGAATCCCGTAAATAACCCTATATAGTAAAATTATCTCTGGATAAACATTCGCCTAAAATTAAAAAGTAATAAATATCCCGTTTATATAAATATTAGTTATTTAAACATTCTAATTAACGAATAATAGATTTTTAAAAGTCCAAATAATATATAATTCAATAACTCCGAAATAAAATTATTTAATATTATTGGTAGTTGTATCGTCCTTACTAGAAGAATAACCTTTAACCTCTTTATTGAAGGAATTATTAATAACCGCCCTATATAATAAGCTTTTATATTAATTATATAGGTAACTAAAGGACTAACTGCGAAATTACTACTCAGAACGCAATAAACTCAACCTAACCATTTTGTTATTAATTCCTTATTAAATACTATACAAATTCTAATATATAGTAATTTAATTATACTAATAAATTATACTATAAAGTTAATGCGTTAAAGGATATTAATAATGTACAATATAATTATCCTACCGTATTCTAAACGTTTTATCCCTATTAATTTTATATATATCGCCGATAAATTACTAATAAATATTCCAAAGGAATATATCTTTAAGGCCAGGCACCCCTATATTTAGAATCATCTCCTCAATACTAAAATTCTAAAGTTTATAAATATTATTAACGCTACTAATAAACTAATACGTATTTAATATTCCTAGCAGATAAGTACTATCAAAGACCTTAATAGCGACGGTTACCGAATTATTTCTTTTATTTAAATTTAAGTATTATTAGCCGCTATAAAGGTACAACCGGGCGAAGAATTCGTATTTATAATAAAATTCGAAAATATTACACTCACCCCTAATATAAAAATTATATATAACGAACCTAACAAAATAACCGGCGATATCCCTAACTATAAATTAACTAAGGGAAACGTATTAAAGCTTCTTCGCAAATTATTAAAATAAAGCCTATCCCTTAATATTAGTAAAAATAAAAATATTCCAGAAATCGAGTCTATTTACAGCGTAAAAATCTACAACTGCAACCCTCTTTATATATAACGTATTAAAATATTATTAAATAAATATAATATTTATAATAGCCGTAATATAATGAAGATAGATAAGGGCAATATACTTCGAATTAACCTCGTTGAGAATTAGTATAGGCAAAAGGTCTCATTCAGGCTATACCAATTCGGGGTCTAAAATCGCTAGCTCCTCAATAAAATATTAAATAAGATGTACGAAAATAGTAAATTCGAATAAATATATAGAGTAACGCTATTTAACTATCCTTACTTTATTATTTAGCGTACTATCGACAATATATATAAAGCCGTATAGTAATCGATCTACGACTATTAAACCGTATAACTATTAGCAATTTATATCTACTACTAATCCAAAACTCAATTATCGCTAGAATAAAAAGCAAGAATTTCGCTAACTACTTCGATGGTTCTATATTCTTCTACCAAATCAGCGTCTATCTACTAGATCGAAATAGGATAATCCTTATCAATCCGAAAGAATTAGAGTAATCTAATATTGTATTAATAGGCTATAAAAATTTACCGGTCTACGCGCAATAATTTATCAACCGGAAGCTCTATCTATACTACGTAATTATAGCGGGATATATTAATAATATTATTATATTTAGTAATATAGCCGAAAATTATTTAAAATACGTAGAGATCGTTCTCAAACTTTTTAAGGATATTAATCTTAATATTATAGTAAAAAAATCGTTTATTACTTACTTATTAATACGCTTACTAAGTTATTATATAAATAAATTAAATATAATTATTACGACCGATTGTATTACTACTATATAAAATATTCAATAACCGACCGATCTAGCATCACTTGAGTATTATATTGGCCTAACTAATTTCCTAAAATAGTTTATCTCTTAGTTTACTTAAAAGATTAGCCCGTTAGAAGAATGAAAAGTTAAACTTATCCAATCCAATAAAAAGAACAGTAAAATACTAGAAAAGAAATTACCTATAGTAAAAAAAACGTTTATTAGCATATTAAGCTTTACGTTAATAGATTTCGAAAAAGAAGTATTTACTATCCTATAGGATTAATTAATAAAAGAGATAATAATTTTCCACTATTATTCCAACCGTACCACCTTCTTAAAAATCGATGCTTTAAAGAGGTAGGGTTTTAGTATTATAATTTTTTATATTAATGGTAATTATTAGAACGGCAAATTTATTCCTATTTATAAAATTCAACTTATCCTTTTTTACAATAAACGTTTATCCGCCGCGGAAAAGAATTATTAGTTAATTAAGTTCGAAATTGCCTGCTATATATAGGTTTATTGATCCCTCTATTAATTAGTATAATTATGTACCAAACCTATTATTGTATTAATAAACTATTGTACACTTATTAATATAATTAAATAAACCAACCTAAATACTACTAATTTTATAAAACTAAATTCGAAGTTCATTATCGCCTCAATATATTTATTTTAATTTAACATCAACGTCCGCTATATACTAAAGAAAATTAATATTATACTAAACGCCCTCTTTAGATTTCCCGGGGCGGAAGCCGAACTATACTTGGAAATTAGTAAATTCGATAATATTTAGAAAGGCGTAGTATATACGATCTATATCTATATAAATAATAATATAAAGAT